GCACAAAAAGAAGGCCTATAGGGGGTGGAAGCAAGGATAGGTAGCCTGGGAAGAATACAGAGCGACTGTCCGAGCAACCAGAGATCAGGCTAGGAAGGCTAAAGCCCTGATAGAGTTAAGTCTGGCCAGGGACATCAAGGGCAACAAGAAAAACTTCTATAGATATGTCAGTGATAAAAAGAGATCTAGGGAAGATGCAGGCCCTCTCCAGAAGGAAACGGGGGACCTGGCTACCTGGGATATGGAGAAGGCTGAGGTTCTCAATGACTTCTTTGCCTCAGTCTTCACTGGCAAGAGCTCTAGCGGCATGGCACAAGTCACGGAAGGCAAAGGCAGGGACTGGGAGAATGAAGAACCGCCCACTGTAGGAGAAGATTAGGTTCGAGACCCTCTAAAGAACATGAAGGTGGACAAGTCCATGGGACCTGATGAGGTGCATCCACGGGTCCTGAGGGAACTGGCAGATGAAGTTGCTAAGCCACTATCCATCATATTTCAGAAGTCGTGGCAATCTGGTGAAGTTCCCAATGACTGGAAAAAGGGAAACATAGCCTCAATTTTTAAAAAGGGAAAAAAAGAAGATCCAGGGAACTACAGGCCAGTCAGTCTCACCTCTGTGCCCAGTAAGATCATGGAGCAGATCCTCCTGGCGACTATGCTAAGGCACATAGAAAATAAGGAGGTGATTGGTGACAGCCAACATGGCTTCACTAAGGGCAAATCCTGCCTGACTAATTTGGTGGCCTTCTATGATGAAGTTACAGCATTAATGGATAGGGGAAGAGCAACTGACATCGTCTACCTGGACTTATCCAAAGCATTTGATACTGTCCCACAGGGCATCCTTGTCTCTAAACTGGAAAGATGTGGTTTTGATGGATGGACCACTCGGTGGATAAGGAATTGGCTGGATGGTCGCTCTCAAAGAGTTGTGGTCAACGGTTCAACGTCCACGTGGAGGCCAGTGACGAGTGGTGTTCTGCCGCAATCAGAAGGTATCTTGTTGCAATGTATCATAATCAGAAGGTTTTATGATGCCACAAGAGAGCTTCAGACTGCTGCTCTAAGCAGGCTAACACTTCTCCAACATCCAGGAGGGAAATACCCCACCTCCAGGAAGAAGTGCTCCACTTTTAATCAACCACAAGTCACGTGGTTTGCCAGATGGGTCAAGGCCCTTGGCTGCTTGACCATCCACCTCCCAGGGTGATTTACAACACCTGTTTAACAAACCACAGGTATTTCTCATCTGGCCTGCATAGCAACCAGAAGACTTCTCCACACATAGCAACCACAGGACTTCTCCACAATTCCCCCTTTTTTGTTTTAAAAAACCCAATAGCCTTAAGGGTTCTACCATTCTGACTCCAGATTCAGTCGCCACTTGTCGAATACTTTTGAAACAGAACCATGGGGGTATCTTTCTTACTTCTGATTATACCATGTCGGCGGTGGATATATCCATTCCTGTGTCGGTGATGGATACATCCATCCTGGCTGTTCCGACTGCTTTTCCTGATGATTTGTTTGCGGATTGGTCTGTGGCTGCTGTATTGTTCCCACAAAAGGTTTGCCAGGATTGTAGGACGCGCGTTTCCTCGTTCTTCTTTTGCTATTTCCCGGATTTGGCCGGCCATTAGTATAAACCTTTGATCTACGGTGTTTAGCGAGATGACCTATTTTTCCACATCTATAACATCTCTGCTTCTTAACATGCGAGGCAGGTAGGGCAGTGGCCAGTGCGGTTATTTTATGTTCTATAGACCCGA